TCCTCAGGTTATATGTACAAATTTGAAATATACCCAGGCTCAGCAATTAGGGGTCAGAGCAGTGGTTTGGGAATGGTTGGGGACGTAATGATGCACCTTTGTGATGACATAAAGCACAAAAACCACAAGGTGTTTGTTTTTTGACGACTTCTTCTGCAGCGTTCCACTCCTTGAGGCCTTGAAAGATCGTTGCATCTATGGCACATGTACATGCAGAGTAAACAGAGTGAAAGGAACAAGTCGGAAACTTAAGAGTGAAAAACAAATGAAAAATGAACAGTAACATCACTGTCACACGTTGGCTTGACAGCTGGTCATCCATATGGCATCGAACTGTGCAGGTCAGTCCCCTGAATGGATGAAGAAAGAACAAGCCAAGATCAGTGTCCAAACACCCTTCTTGGTGGCCCTTTATAACCAACACATGTGGGATTGATCTCATAGACCAGTGTGTTGCAATGTATCCCCACAGACATAGAAACAAGCGGTGGTACATTAGAGTGTTCTTTCATTTTTTGGATGTGACTGTTGTAAATGCCTGGCGACTCTACCTGATGTCTGGGTTGGAAAAGATGAAACTCCTCATCTTCAGTGGAGCCCCACCTCCAGCAAAGTGCAGATGTGTGACCAAAGTACCCAGTAAAGTCAGGTTGAGCGCAGGAAATCACTGGCCCGAGCTCACCCCAGTCAAAAATGCAAACAGATGCCATGATGCTGCATGCACAAGGAAGACCAAATACATCTGCATGCAGAGCCATGTGGCACTGTGCCCTGGGTGCCATTTTTCATGTAGCCTAGGAGTTAGGAAAATGAGTTAGGAGAGAAGTTAGAAAAGGAGTTGTTTGATTAAGATTATTCTCTTAGTTTGCATTACCAGAAGGGCTATAGAATGTTTGAGTGAATGAAATTCAATTATTCTTCAGTTAAGTTTATGCTGTGCTATGTTGAGTGCTGAAGCGCATGTAGTCCACTGTGGTGGACATTTCTGTAACTTCCAAAAAAAATGTAATTTTTGGAAAAAAAAAAAAAAATCATGTTTGTTTTTTCTATGCCCTAAGAAGAGTAACATAAAAAAAACACTTGACTCAGGAATTCATGATCATGCATCAGAGGGTTAACCCTTTATAGGGTGAAAAGCTTTGAAAATTTCATTTCAATTGTGTTATTGGAGTCCAGGACAAGACCTTATTGCCATTGTATCATCCTAAAAATATGGATATTTTGATGGCAAAAATTAATGTCAATGTCAAACAAGAAACGCCAACTTGCCCGAATATATTATGAAAAATAACAAAAGTGCTTCTAAAAGAAATTTATAAAAAACACTCTGAGAGAGAAAGAAACACTTTTTTTGGGACAACCTTAGAGGCATTAATGTTGACACTTACATTTTTTAGTTTATAAATCTAAATATAATTGTTAACTAGACTTATTAACTTTCAAACTTTTCAATTAGCTTTTTACCTTTTTTTTCTTGACTTGTTAACTTTTTTTTTCAATTAAATTTACAGTAGCTAATATATCATTCAAGGGCTCATCTAATTGGTCAAATGCCAAAATAAGATGTGCATGTAATGATCTCAGAATATTGGACCCAGAATTCAAGGCGAGACAGGCAGTGGGAAAGTTCAAAGCGTTTATTAAACATACAGGTGCGCGGGGCTGCTCGTCTGCTGGTTTGACCGCAGTTGCGGCGGCCACGCCCCCAGAGTTCCTAGAGAGCGAGCAGCAGACGCCGAGCAGCAACAGAGTCCAGAAGGAAAATCCAAGGCCGAAGTCAGGAGACAGTTCCAGGTTCAGAAGCCGGTAGAATCCAGGACCAGATGCGACAAACAGAGCAGACAGGGACAAGGCAAAACTCGAGATCCACATGACAGAAAACTGGTCATAATCAGGGAAACAGACAGACTGAAGAAAGCTAGAAAACATCTCACCAAAACACACAAATAACCTGGCGCTGACGGGAGGNAGGAAAATCCAAGGCCGAAGTCAGGAGACAGTTCCAGGTTCAGAAGCCGGTAGAATCCAGGACCAGATGCGACAAACAGAGCAGACAGGGACAAGGCAAAACTCGAGATCCACATGACAGAAAACTGGTCATAATCAGGGAAACAGACAGACTAAAGAAAGCTAGAAAATGTCTCACCAAAACACCCGAATAACCTGGCGCTGACGGGAGGCAAACACACAACCTAAATACAGTAGTAGAGGAACCAGGTGGAAATGATCGGCGATAATCAGCCGCAGAACAAATTAGACAGGGGAGCAAGGAGCAAAGGAAAAAACCAACCATCAGCGCCAAGATCATGACAGTGCAGCCATGTAGCAGCATCTTTGCTGAATGGCTGGATATAGATCTTAAGTATGAATAAGTGAGCAAATTTCTACTTTGCAGCGATTACACATTGGATCACTATCTGGATAAAACTTAGCTAATTTTCCTTTGGAAATATGAAAACGGTGAAGAACCTTGAATTGTAGAAGCCCTTGCCTGGCACAGATAGAGGAGGAGTGTACCCTTTGCAGCATACAATCCCAAAGATCAGCTGAGATGTTCATCGCCAAATCTTTTTCCCAGTGTGATTTTATAATGGAGAGAGATGGAGATTGTAAATCCAGTAATAAACTGTAAATTTCTTTAATCACCCCCTTTTTGTGAACATTTATATCCTCTAATGCGTAATTTAAAATAAAACTACTGAAGTGGAGAGAACCGCGGCAACCAGCATACCTCGTAGGGTAATGGCAGCCTGGTCTAATCCTAGCCCGTCTGTAGCAGCTCTCTCTCAGCATAGCCATACGTGAAGGACCGCTGGCTATGATGGTGATTTTTTTGTCTTATTTGGCAAAATGTTCATTTGATTTATGTTTATTCGACTGTGTTAACTATTATTCACGCAATAAATTAAAAAAGTAAGAATTTATTATTATCAAGAGACTATTAATAACAGGAGGTGAAATGCAGCTCCAGAAAGAGCCGAGCGTGTGGTGATGTCATCAGTACGCTTCTGTTCCAGTTGACCCATATTTATGCTGCGTGTTCCTGTTCTCCCAGAGTCCACACTTTCCTGTGTTCTTCTCAAGAACATACATGGCGAGGACACAAGTCCTTACTTCTTGTGAATTGAGAAAACGACATAGACAGGTATCAGGTATTACAGACTAACAAAGAACTCAAACGACCCCCATTCCAAAGGGGTGGACCCGTTCGTCCGGTTCAATTTGCATGTTTTCTAAGCCAAAACAAGGCTTTGTGTTGGTCCACTCTATAAAGCCTCAAACTCAACGCTATTTCTGACACTTTGAATTGAAAAAGCTTCCTGGATGGGAAGAGAAATGTCTTAAAACCTGGAAAAAAGTCCAGTGGATTGTTTTTTATCTTTTTTTGGGAAGCTTTTTTAAAAGCCGTCCACAAACCTCTGACGAGCATTCCACACTTTATCCTTTGTCAACATTTTTTTCTCTACCATTTTATTTTAAAAAAATTGTCTCCATTTTTTCCTTCACTAAAACAGTGGGCAACTCATGATACATATCTCCTAATTCTTCTACTTCCAATATTAATGTATGTAAGACTACAGCTCCCAGAATCCTTATTGGTTCTTCTGCTATTTGGATGTATTATTGAAAGATGTATCTTTTTGAAAAGATTTGTTGCTGTGACCTTTAAGTGAATATTAATTTATTTTTTTTACTTATAATTGTTATTATATTTGATAACTTAGGCCCTTTCTGATCTTGCCTGTCACAACCAGAAGCAGACTTGCAGAGTTAACGTGGGTTTGCTATTTGACCTTCAGTTTATCTACAGGCTCAGTTCTTTGGTCCACTTTCTTTTTTTGCTGACAATTCTGTCCTGTGACAAAGAAACAAAGCAAGTTTTTCAAAAAAAAAACGGGAATAATTTGGCAGCTCTTGAGATGGTGTTTGAGTGGAAAATATGCGTGTAACACTCGTGATATTGTTTGGTGAATAACATGAACTGTTCAATTCATTCGTGCTCAACTTGTTTTTTCCAGAATCCATCCTGCGCCAATACACCCTGGACAGAGCCAGCAGTACGTCATCAAGCCTAAATACTACCACACACACACCACACACACACAGATGCGTGTTCATCCCCAACCTGAGCGGCCAATCCCTCTGACAGTGGGACACAACTCCCTCCATGGTGAGTAGCTCCAAAAGCTTCAGCTTTTCTGTGTTTTACAGTTTGGATTTCATGTTGAAAAACTAACTAAAAGCTTTCATTCAGAAACTGCAGGTCATGAGGGCAGATTTTCAGAATTCAGTCCTTTTGATCGCTCTACAGGAATGATGACAAGCATTTTTAGTTTGTCTTAGACTGATGTTCATAGATCAGACTGCTAAAAAGAATTACAGACTGAATCAATGAACACCAGCTGGTGACGCTTTACATTGCCAACTGCTGTATTAAAAATTTAACCCAGTTCCAAAAAGATGATGTTTCTTATGGAACATATACATATATGTGCAGAGTACATATGTACATTTAGCCACTCGCAGGCACAAATACTTAAATATTAATACCCAGAACACTGAGCACTCCTTGCAGTGTCTCTATTGTTTTCCCCACCAAGCTGTGGCTGCCCCAGAACCACAGTGTCGCCTTTTGTTCCAAAAAACCTGCCTTATTGATTGTAAAAGCAAAAACTAAATAATTACTAAAAATGTCTTGTAACTTAGCAGAAACAAAAAGCAACTATTTAATGTCTGAAGCTCTAAGACAGTGTTAAAAAAAATCATTTTACAAAACCTCCCGTCCACACCAGACATTTATCAAAAAAAATCCAGAGCACCCGGTGTGGTGGAGTTATTCAATTAAGGGGAGGGTCTAAGTGTGAACATCTAAACAATGTTAAATGCTGTGATTTTATGTTCAATGCCAATCCAGGTTCGAGGCCACATTAATGTTGTGGATTTATATTAAATTCAATTCCCAGCCAGCTGGGAATTTTTATTTCTGATACTTTCAGATGTTTATTGCCCTCCCCAGTAGGGATGGTAAATATCTTATTTAATCAGATATTATTTCAGCTGTTATATATTGTTTATGACACACAGTCCTACTAACTGTGTGTTAGAACAATGAATGAAAGAGTGATTTGAGCACTAATCATGGTCAAACAGTTAATTCTGCACATACATACAGATACACAGATGCAAAACCTCTTTCAGTCAATCAGCTTTCACTGTACAAGGCACAAAAACATGGAATACATTACCTGCAGAACTGAAGGGAGAGTCAAACTGGGTCCTTTTTAAACATAAACTTAAAGACTTTTTATTGAGAGGTCAGACATGTGAACATTAGTAATCTAACTGACCAGATCTTGTTTCTGTGATGTTTTAGTGTGTAATTTGTTCTGTGGTTTCTTGTGTGCAGTCACTG